CTGGGAGCTCTCGCCACAGAGCCATGATGACTGGGAGGACCAGCTGGGAGGACCAACTACTTGAGAAACTGCTTTTTCCCACATGTGGGGGCTGGGAGGCTGATGGACTCCCCTCCCTTCCTTCCAGGCACTCGGCATGGAAGCCAGGGAAGTAGTCCTTGGTGCCACACACCCATCAGGGTCCTTCAGAAGAGGATTCTCCTGTGACTGCCTTCCAGGGAGTGCTGTGTGATTTGTGTGAAAGGAGACCCTGTCGGTATCAGTGATGTGGGTGTGAGAGTGCAATTGCACAGATCGCCCTGGTGAGGGCCTGGTTATGGATCCCAAGGGTAAACAAAGGTGCACACCACCAGGAGACCCTCCCCTGTCCATCATGTAACAGCAAATGCGGGAGGGCAGGGCAGGAGCGACGCTGTTCACCCACCTGTTCTCTCCGGGCGCTCAGGATGCGCACCAGCTTGTAGGCGTGAGTGTCTCTGCTCCGCAGGTTGAACGTGTACAAGGTGAACTCCACGGTGGCCGGGAAGTACAGGGCCATCAAGCTTTGGTCAGCGAGGTCGTTTTCCTCTTTGGTTTGCCACTCATGAGTCACACGCTTGGATTATTTTTCAGTTCTTTCAGTTTAAGATATGCTGGCCATGTTCTTCCCTTTGGGTTGTCTAATTCTCGGTCTTTGCATATTTTATTGTAATATTTGTCTTTTTGTTTTTGAGCTGCTCTGTGAAATGGTCTATTCTGCTATTTGACTCCATCATTTCTTCCATTTTCTTTACCTACTTTGTGATTAAGAGCAAGCTTCAGAGTGTCTTCTGACATCCACTTGATCTTTTCTTTCTTTCCTATCTTTTTAATTACCTTTTGCTTTTTTCATGAGTGATGTTCTTGATGTTGCTCATCAGGTCTTCTGTCATTAGTGTCCTGTGCATCAAATCTGTTCTTGAGGTGTTCTGGGAATTCAAGAGAGAGAGCCAATGCCGTATTTTGGTTCTGGTGGACTTGTATTAATTTTCTTCAGTCCCATTCTGAACTTACATATAAGCAATTGATGGTTTGTTGCACAATCAGCCCCTAGTATGGTTTTAGCTGCTGATATTGAGCTTCTTCATCATCTCTCTCCACACATGGAATCAATTTGGTTTCTGTGTATTCCACCTGGTCTTTGTGTATAGTCACCATTCGTGTGTTTGCAAAAAGGTATTTGCTATGAATAAAACATTTTTGCACCATTCTATCATGCAATCGACACCTTCTTTTCTATAAACAAGTCCCTATTTTCCAACTATTATTTCTTTCTCTTTGTTTCCAATTTTTGCATTCTAATTTCCAATAATTATCGATGCATTTTGATTCCATTGATCAATTTCAGACTGAAGTGTTGGCAAAATTCTTCAATTTCTTCATCACCAGCTTTTATAGTTAATGTATAAATTTAATGATAGTTGTATTGAGTGGATTTCCTTGAAGGGAGATAGATATAGTGCTATCACAAAAAAACGTTGTACTTCATGATTGATTTTTCAATATTCTTGTTGACAATGATTCTTCTTGATTGTGTTACTCCCAGCAGAGTAAATCATATGAATTTCTGATTAGCCAGCAACAGTCTATTTGAGCTCACCAATAACTCAGATATCAATCTTTATGTGTTCCGTTTTATTTTTGACAACTTCCAACTTTCCTAGATCCATACTTTGCACATTCCAAGTTCTGATCATTAGCAGATTTTTGAAGCTATCTCTCCTTATCTTGAGCTGTGCATCATCAGCAAATGAAGATCCTGAAGGCTCTATTCCCAGATTGGACCTGACTCACTTCCCCCTGCTTGACTCCACTCCTAGAAAACAGCTCTGTCTCTGCCACATTTCAAAGCCTCTCCAACACCAGGGGACCATCCTCCAACAATACCTCAGATAATGTTCTGCTTTCATTCATTAGGTCTACAGTATCTGACAATATTCCAAAGCTATGTATAGGTTTTCAGCGTCTCATTCCTCAGAAGTGGAAAGCCTACCCCTTCATTGTTGTCTGTTCTTATGCTACAACCTCCACTGAAGCTTGTTCAGTTTGGGTGAGACGCATGGCATTTGAAATACCAATGACATAGTTTCCAGCATCACAAGAACACACAGGCCACCAGAGTACAGCACATGGACAGACAAGCAGAGAGAGTATTGCAGAGGGATGAGAGTAGATGTAGTTAGTATGAACTATAACATCATATTTTGATCCCCCATAATGCATTTTGAAGTACTTCTAGTGTTTAATATTTTCTGCTTCTTTTCATTTCTATTTTGTTTGTTATTGTTGTTATAGTTTTTGTTTATTTCATTTCAGTTTTTTGTATGTTTTTTAGTATATGAAATCCAGGATAGGTGTACTCAGAGAGACAGCAACGGGATTAATGGTTTCTGGGGGTGTGCAGAGGAGATGAGGGGTAGATGAGGAGCTGAAACAAGAATTACAAAAAAGAAGAATATGTTCTACAATTGATTGTGGTAATTGTAATAATCTTCTTGATATGATTGAACTATTGAATTGTATGATGTATGGATTATGTGCCAATAAAACAGTTTAAAAATTATTCAGACATAGACAGGCTGAAGGCTTATTCCCTACCAAATTTGTCCCTCAGATGGTAACAAAATGGGTGATAAAAAAGAAAAATGTTATTTTTTTCAACAGACAAAGACTCTGTTATGCTAGAAACAAGAAAGGAACAAACTGATACTTGAGTTCTTCTTTGAGTCATGAAGATCCTTTCTCAGGGGCTTAGACAAAATTCTTGGAATCTATGCACAACCCTGAACTTCTCCCTTCCTTGACCTACATAAGATCTATGGGCATCTCACCTCCCAAGCCTCCATCCCTAATTTGACTAGAGAGGAAGAGATGACAGAGCTACCTTCCTGGTTGCCTGGGCTGTGCCTATGGCTCAGAGTAGGGCTCCCTAGAGGCCCTGCTGCCTGAGCCCCTACTCTGGAGGTCACACTTGCCCCTGCCTTCCCTGTTTGCAGTCCCCTCTTCTGGTTGAGGCATGGAGCACTTTGCTCACTACATGCTAATGGGCCGTTCTACACTTGGCTTTCATTCTCTGTGGCAGCACTGAGTGCTCTCCCCACTAGTTCAGGTGCCCAGAGCTGTGCCCCAGGTACAAGAACTACAAAGGAGATAGAAATGTGCTGATTCTAGATTCATTCAAACAAAGACAAAGGAAGTACTCAGTGCAGAAAAACTGTCACCCTTAGCTAGAATTTCCAATTCACACAGCATTTCCTCCCCACGATGCCATTTATGCCCCAATCAGCAAGACAATGCAGGAGCATGGGTGATGCTGCCCCCAGTTGGGGTGTGGAGGACTCTGGGACATGGGAAGGCTGAGGATGGGCACATAACTGATTGGGCTAACACTCAGGTCTCCAAGGAACTTGTCATTCTTTAGGAACTCATGTGGATTCCTTAGAGCAGGAGTGTCAAACTGGCAGCCCATGGGCCATGCAGCCCCCGAGGTAATATTTTGTGCCCTGCAATACTCTGAAATAAAATGAAAATAGAAAAATTGTTATGAAGAAAATAGCGCTTAGAGGAGATTGAGGCAATACCATACACACAATTCCCTCGTTAACCCTTTCACATAATGGCACTTCTCACTTACGACGTAAGAAAATGGTTCTGGTATGAGGACCCTGTGCTGTGGGAGCCTGTTCCATGGGAGCCTTCCTCACAGCCCAAAGCTGAGGATGCCCCTGGACCCTCTCCCTTCTTCCCATATCCTCTCCTCCCAGAGGCTTGGGAACCCAACAGGTTCTCCCCGCTGTGCTTCTGCTTGGAAGAGAGGACCAGCGAGCACATGGGGATCCTCGACTGGACAAGGTGTCTCTCACAGCCCCACCATCTCCTCCCAAGGTCTATCCAGCTGAAACAATGACCATTTGGTGCCAGCACATGGCACGTCTCTGCCTCTTGCCCTCTGTCCTTTCCCCCCAAAAGCATATGGCATCCTGGGGGGCTGTGCACATCTTCCTCCTTTCCTCAGGGCCACTCCAAGAGCCAGCCTCTACACGTCCTTCCTTGATTCTCTTCTCTGCCACTGGAGGTGACACTGGTGAACAGGCCCAAGTTCTCAGGCAGTAATCCCCATAGCCAGCCTTTCAAGTGCCTCCAGGGCCCTGCCACTGGGCTGGCAGTCTGAAGTCAGGAGTTGAACTTTTCCACGGATGCCCCTTGCAGCCTTCTCTTCTTTCTATGCACCCACAAAGGCAGCACTTTGCAACTCCACCCTCGGCCTCTGTCCTTGTTTGGGGCCCAGGCCTGGTGGCCCTCCACATATTCTTCCTGCACTGGTTTCTCCCTCTCAGCACCTAATTCTGGGGCATCCACGTCAAAGACTCCCCCTCTCCAACCACGGTGGCTCTGAGGGAAGGTTGTGGCAGGCAGGGACCCCCAGTGAGTGACCCTCACAAGCGGGTCCTTCCCAGTCACACCATCAAACATTGTCCCTTCCCCGTGGGAAAAATGACTATCAGTTTGGGGTGGAGTCTGAAGACCGACATTTAGAAGGAGGTTTTCACTGCAGAGAAAGCCGGGAGGGTGGAGTTGTCCGAGACTGGACAGTGTGAGCCCTGGACTGATGCCCAGGGAAGCTGCCAGGGAAGCTGAGCTCTGCTGATGCTGGACACAGGGGGAGCCAGTCATCACAGCCATGCCACGCCAGCCTCAGAGGTGGGTTTGGCCCTCCTGGGTGCTTCTGCTCCTCTTGGGCTTCTTGCCCCTGGTGACTCGTGAGTGGCAAACCAAAGAGGAAAACGACCTCGCTGACCAAAGCTTGATGGCCCTGTACTTCCCGGCCACCGTGGAGTTCGCCTTGTACACGTTCAACCTGCGGAGCAGAGACACTCACGCCTACAAGCTGGTGCGCATCCTGAGCGCCTGGAGAGAACAGGTGGGTGAACAGCGTCGCTCCTGCCCTCCCCTCCCGCATTTGCTGTTACATGATGGACAGGGGAGGGTCTCCTGGTGGTGTGTACCTTTGTTTACCCTTGAGATCCATAACCAGGCCCTCACCAGGGCGATCTGTGCAATTGCACTCTCACACCCACATCACTGATACCGACAGGGTCTCCTTTCACACAGAATGACACAGCACTCCCTGGAAGGCAGTCACAGGAGAATCCTCTTCTGAAGGACCCTGATGGGTGTGTGGCACCAAGGAGTACTTCCCTGGCTTCCATGCTGAGTGCCTGGAAGGAAGGGAGAGGAGTTCATCGGCCTCCCAGCCCCAACATGTGGGAAAAGCCAGGTTTCTTGAGCAGCTGGTCCTCCCAGTCATCATGGCTCTGTGGCGAGAGCTCCCAGGGAGGCAGCCTGCATCCTAGTGTTGTAGCTGAGGCTCACAGCCTCTGTGTGGCTGTAGAGTTGGTGGGTTGAGACAAAGGCTTGTAGTTGGAGGTCAGGTTGTGGAAGAGAATGAAAAAGGACCGACGTCAGAAAAATAAAGACAATTTCAGAGTGTCATCTGGGGCCAATGTACTTTTACAGCATTATTGCGTGTGTGTGTGTGTGTGCGCGCGCGCGCGCGCGTGCTCCTGCATGGGCTAGCGTTCACATGCATGCTAGGTAGCCCTCTGTGGGATTTCTCTTGCTGTTGGTCCAGGTGAAAAGTTTGACCAATCAGCTTTGGACAGGGTCCCTCCCTGGGTCCACCTCCTGAGAGCCATCCTCTCGGGCAGGCAGGGCAGCACCTGTGGAGGCCGCTCATGTGCTGGGTTGTGCCTGACTTCGGATGCTTGGGACAGTGAGGGGGCATCTCCACTGGGAAAGAAGTAGGTGACATGCTGAGGTGAGACTCAGCCTGTGTCTTTCCCCCGTTCCCCACACCCCAGCCTGACTGTCGTCCTTAGCCCCTTGACTAGAGACGGCCCCCGTGGCCTGAACTCTAGGGATAGAGCCTGACCCGCTACATAAGCCTGGAAGCCAGGGGGTGAACTAGGTGCTCCTACACTGTGCACACCTGCACTGGCCACCTGAGGGCTGGAAAGGGGCTTTCCCTTGTCTGTCTGCTTGCCTTTGCCCCTAGAGGGAGGCCATGCTGACTTTCTCCATGGAGCTGGAGCTGGGCCGGACCAGGTGTGGAAAATTTGAGGAGGACATTGAAAACTGCCCGTTCCAGGAGAGCCTAGAGGTAAGCAATGGAGCCCAGGAGCGGCTTTGCCCCCTTCTTGTGCACAGAGGGGTAAACTGTACACTGCAGGCAATGTGGGCATGGAGCACAGAGGACCCAGGGATTCTCAGGGCAGAACTAGTGGTGAGAGTGGCCCCAGCTCGCCACCTACTGGTAGTCAAGTGAATGCAGAGGCAGTAGGCGGCTCCCACCCACCAGTGTCTACAGGGGCCTCCATCTGCTCCTGCATGCTGAGGGCTGTGTGTAAAGCGAAGGCGTGCCACATACAGGGTACCTCCTGGCTGCCTCACCCACTGCCTTCTCTGCCTTCGTGCGGAAGGAGCGCTGGTTCCTGCTCCAAGCTGACCTTTGTGCTCAGGGCCCTCAGGGCCTGCCTACCCTCACCCAGACTGAGGGGCTTGTGTGGAGGAATAAACCCTGCTGAGCTGCGATGCCCTCCCTGGGAGTAGCGCTGGGCATCCTCAGGGTGAGCATGAGGTGCCCTAGATGGGGGTTGTGCAGCTCTTTGGTGATCCAAGGTCCAGGGTTTGCTCCGGGAGTTCCCTGCAGATCACAGACGGGTGGGGTGGGTGAGGGTGGGCATGTGAGACGCAGTCAGCTTTAGGACAGGAGGAATCTGGGTCATGCAGAACTCAGGACCTCATCCTTGAGATCACGGGCTATAGCCCTGACTGTTGGCTCCTATCACAGCCCCGTCCACCACTGCTGGCAGGGAGAGGGCAGCTTGTCAGAGCGTGACTGTAGCTCAAGGCCTCCTTCACCCTGGTCCTTCACATCATGTCCCCACAGATGCTCAGCTGCTTCTTCACCATCAGAACCCAGCCCTGGAGAACCAAATTCCACCTCCTGAATAGCACCTGCAAGGATGGTGCTCCAAACTCCTGAGCTCGCCACAGGGCCACAACTGCTCCTCCTGGTCTCCAGCAATTCTGTGGGAAGCAGTCTTCATCAGCAACGGTCCCCTGTATCCCAGGGTCTTGGCCTCTCACGAGGGCCCTGGATTCTGTAGAAGTACGTGTGCACTTCTGCAGTCTCTTTGTGTAGGAGACCATTAAATGTCAGCATGCAAGCAGTGCTCTGTGTAGTGTTTTGGGGAAGGGGTACGGAAAAGAGGCCAAAGTTAGCAACCCTGACAGCCCCCTGAGTGCCCTCTCACCATTTCGCCCATGACCCACAAGCTGATACCCCTCCCCCAAGAACCTGCATTTCCCTCCTCATTGGGAGCTGTCCCTGGGTCACAGGCTTCCCTCCGCAGAATGGGACAGAACTCAGGTATAAGATATGAGAAGTCTTTTGGAGGAAATTCCCCCTAACTCCTCCCTCAGAGCCTGATAGAATCATGTCCCGCAGGATTCTCAGAGTGCCCCCTCAGGACACATCCCGTTGTCGTCAGGCTGACCTCCTTCTCTGACTCATGATTCTGCTGTGCGTCCGCAGGATTGTACCCCAATAAAGCTCTGCTCCCGGTTCTTTTTCTGGAGCTGCTTCTGGGAACAGAAGCAATGCACAGTGGTACCGCAGAGCAGCTTCCTGCAGCTTGTCCTATGCAGCGGGCCGGGAAAGGCGACCTCAAATCAGGGTGGGATAGGAGACAGGCCTGGGCCTCCCTCATTCCAACTGGAACCGAAGTATCCCACCAAGAACTCTCCAGTCCATTTCCTGTCTGCTCTCCCCTCTGGTCTTGCTCAGACGTTGCTCAACCATTAGAAGGCCTTTTAGAGCAGAGTCCTCTGGAGTTCAGCATGGGCTTTTCAAAGGTCCCTCTCACCTGTCCTCATCTGTAGCCACTTCCTGGGAGCTCCCTGGGTACCTGTGTCCCAGGAGTCTAGCCAACAGCAAAATGTGGTGTCAGACCTGTTGTGAGCCCTTCCCTCCCTGACAGGGGCCTAGGGAGGCCTGAGGCCAACAAAACCAGAGCCCAAGTCCTTGGGCCTGGGTGCAGTGCACTAGTGGCAGGCTCACTTAGATTAGGAAATGTGCTTCAGGGTCTGCACCCACTGAAGGGCATTTGCATGTTCTCAGTGGTGAGATGGCCACTCTCTCTCTCCTGAAGCTTGTGTGTCTTTAAGTGTGTCTAGCATCTTTGTTGAGCTCTCACGTACTATGTCCTCTCTTTCCATGCCTGGGAGCATGGGGGATGGGAAGGCTGTCACATATTGTACACAGGGACCCAGCCATCCATTGGTCCCCTGGAGAATCAGTCTTCTGGGAGGAAAAGGCAGGAAGTGTGTGAAGACGTCACATGAGATGTCCACACATTTGGCTTCTTTCTGGTGCACAGAACCATGTGCTACCTTCTGGCACCGGTCTAAGTGAGGCAGGGAGTAGCTTGCTGTGTTTAGTGGCCAATATCTTGCTGTATGGTCCTCTTGTCCTCAGTCCATATCTCTGTCTTCTGCTTAAGTCTTCAGCAATATCAGGGTCAGCAGGGCAGGGCCATTTTGGGGTCTTGCCTGACTGATTCTAACCCAGTTGTTTTAGGCTGTTCTTTGATCTCAGCTGACCTTTCATGTGGGAAGTAAAATTTGCCAGGACCTTAGATCAGATGGGTGAGATGAAAACAATAAATCCAGGCATCCACACACCTTCACCATTGTTCATGCTCAGTGGTGCCATCGGGGCTCAGAGTTGAGAGTCTTTCTCCACTGGCTGTCCATGTAAACATGGCCCACTCAGCTATGAGAGAACCTGAAACGCACAGTTGCATATCCACTGTGACATGAGATTGAAAGATCAAAATGGTGGAAGGAGTGAGTTCTGAACATTGTCCAACTAACAACATAAAGAGCAGCACCCCAGGTGGAGCAGAGGTATCTGAGAGCCACTCCACGGTGCAATCAGAGCTCTATAAGCGTGAAGAGCAGGAAGGCCTGCTGCAATGGGGGGTGAGGGACTGGGGGTGTCTCAGGCAGATGATCTCTGAGTGTGTCTTGCCTAGGGCACGGCAGGTAGCAAGCCCAGGTAGGTAGGTAGAGTTGGAGTGAGCGCTGGTGTCTATTGTCACACAGGCACACCCAGAATTTGGCCCCCAGTTTCCCTGCAGAGTACACCTGAGCTCCTCTCTTACATTGATCCCTTCAGAAGTCAGTCTGAGGCAAAAATACAAGGGCAAGTGATGTGCTTAAAGTGATCATGAACATGACCAGCAGGGCAGTGGAAATGGGTGAGACAGAAGCAGTACACCTACTGGGTGCATCAACATGTGTGCAACTTGGGTTCAATGCTATTGGGAACTTTAGACAGAGCATACCTCAGTATGCTCTCTGCAGGGATGACAGCGTGGATATTTATCCTCCAACTCCACCACTGGATGAGGGCTCCTCCCAGGTGTATCACTCCGTAACACTCCATAACTCCTGCCCTTCCCTGTCTGGAAGAAAGCCTCAGGAACGAGCTTCAGATGCACGTAGGAAGCTGTGGCAGAGTACCACCACCACGGACTGTTCATCGGGCAGCCCTAGTGCCCTCCAAGCATCAGCAAATGTTGGGGGCCTCAGCTGGAACCCACCCTTATGTCGTTACTAACATTTTATTGTGGGCCTCTGCATGCACACCAGTCCTGTCATTCCCACATTCCAACTGGGGAGAATGTCTCCTTTAGGGTCACGCTATACTTCATTATCTCAGCCTACATTGACACAATGCACACATTCACTCGTAGTCATACAATACATAGACATGCATACATGAATATGCATTCACATATAGAGGCACACACAAACATAGGCATATTTCGGGAATCAGCTCCAAGATGCCCTCCAATGGGACCTGTCTCCTTGTCCTATCCCTTCCCAAATTGAGTTAAAACTGGGGTGGGGGAAATTATGTTTTGTGACTTCTGGAGCTGGGTCCCAAGAGGCATTATGCCTTCCAACTTTCTCTGTTGGAGCACTTTCTCTAGAAGAAGCCAGGCACCAGGATAATAACTCAAGCAGCTTTGTGGAGGGCCCATGTGGAAAAGAATAGAGACATCCCATCAACAATCAACACTAACTTACCAGACACGCCGGGGCACTGGGACCTTCAGAACCTATCAAACCTCTTAAATTCCTGACCAATAACATCACAAGAGATAACCATTGCCGCTTTAAGATGCTTCATGCTAGGGTGGTTGGTCATGCAGCGTTTGATAGCTAAAATATTCACTGTGCTCACACATTTGTGTGCATACCCACTCTCATGTACATACAAACAAAGACACACACATACCATATACATACCCATATATACATTCTCAATAACACTCACAGACACTGCTGGTCTGTCCATTTGTCTGACTTGCCTGAGCCAAGTCATGGTATTTTCCATTACCTCATATGCATGTAAAAGTTGGAGGTTGATTCAGGATGATAAAAAAAAATTGATAGTTTTGAACTGTGGTGCCGACTAAGAATATTGAAAGTACCATGGACTGCCCAAAAAAACAAGCAAATCTGTCTTGCAGGAAGGTCAGCCAGAGAACTCCTTACAGGCAGGAAAGGCAAGATTTCACCTTTCATACTTTGGACATGTCAGGAGAGGCCAGTCCCGAGAGAAGGACGTCATGTTCGATAAAGCAGGGGGGCAACACAAAGAGGAAGATCTTCCACCAGATGGATCGACACGGTGGTTGTCACAGTGGACTCAAGTATAGGAGCAATTGTGAGGATGCTCAGGACCAGGTAGTGCTTGATGCTGTTGGGCGCAGTGTCGCTAAGGGCTGGAAACAACTTGATGGCACATAATAACAACAATACTCACACAGAAGGCCTGCTAGCACTACCATGTATGCATTTGACTACTAACCACAAAGGTGGTAGTTCAAACTCACCAGCCGCTCTTTGGGAGAAAGATGATGCTGTCTCTTCCTGTAAAGATTTCTAGCCCCAGAACCCTACATAGTGTTTTATTAAGTTTGAATCAACTCATGGGCAGTGGGATTCTTTTTATTTTGTAACAACTTATACACACACATAAACATGCCACACACACCACACACATAGACACACCAAACACATACACTTATTCATGTGTATGTGTTTACACAGATGCATGCCCTTTTGTACACACAGACACACATACGTGCCACGCAAACATAGACATACCGTAAACATTCATATAAACAAACACAGTAGCTTACGTACACACACATTGCACATCTACATAGAAATACATCTCCATGCACCATCACCCCAGCGTGTTCTCTGCCAAGATATAGCAGCAAGCTCCAAATGACCTAACTTAATTTAAGAAAACAGTCTCACTGAGTGGATCTGGGATTTTAAACCCAAACCTTTCCTAAGGCATTAGGCCATGTCTTTCCAGGGATCCTGGGCAAGTTGTTGTCTATAAAATTCATGGAAGCACACACTCAAACAACCAGGTTTCGGGACCTTCTAAAAAGTACCCACCATGGGGAAGCAATTGAAAGGGCAGTCCTGCATTTACTGCAGAGAAAGGGAGTGAGAATATATGCTCGGTTTGTGAGTGGTGAAAGCAGGTCACATTCTTTTAATTTATCACTAGGAGAAGGTCCCTGCTAGCATATGAATTAGCCAACCAGAAGAGACTGTCCAGTGCTGTCAAAGGTGCCATACACTCTCATCAGTAGCCTTGTAGAATGCATACAGGATCCAAATGGCCACAAAAATGACGGAAATAGATCAACTGTGTTGTTTAAATGTCTTGCAAGTATCTTTGCTGTTTCTTTTAAAATACATGTGAGAGTGGCAGAAGGTGCTAGAAGAGAATTAGGCATCTTTGCACTGTTTCTTCAGCATTTTGACTTCAAATTCCCAGGGTTTAGATGCAACAATGAAGGTGCAAAAAAACATCTAAAGGAGACAAAAAGAAAAATCAGCCTGTATTAAATATTAAATATTCAATTAAAAACAATCCCTGTGTTGAGATTGGTTATTAGGGGCATAATGTGGCATGAGGCCACGATGTCATCAGGGAAAACAAAACTATTGACCTAGAATGCTGATAGTACTGATGGTAGAAGAACCAGCCTCGATCACCAAGGGGGATTCTGGTTAAGTCACCATCAATCTCCTCCAACCCACTATGTCTGTGCAGAGAGAGAAGTGATGAAAGGCTAGGTCCTGCTAATGCCTAGGTAATGCCTGGTAATGGCTTTAGCTAGTTATGCCAACTTCACGTTGGGCAAATCTACACTGCATAATGACGCAGCATGAATTTCCCAGGTGAGGCACCGTAACAAAGATAGAATAGAATCCTGCATACCTGGGGTTTGGGGTCAGAACCTGGCCAGAAACATCAAGGACAAGCATGCAGTGAAGAGGGCTAGGAGAAGATACATGAATCAATTCCCAGAGCACAGCAGAATCCAAGGATAGGATGGCCAAATAATTCCTGTTTTCTTGAGACTTTCCTGGCTTTATCCCTGATAGTCTCACATCCTAGGAAAACCCAAGTCCTGGACAGACTAGGATGGTGGGTCACCCTACCGCAGCAGTTCTCAACCTGTGTATCGCGACCCCTTTTGGAGTTGCCCAGTTATGAAATAGCAACAAAAATAATTTTATGGTTGGGGCAGTCACCACAATATGAGGAACCGTATTAAAGGGTCACAGCATTAGGAAGGTTGAGAACCATTGCCCTGCAGGTTTAACCCAGGGAGAGACACCATTTGCAGTGAGAAGGTATATTAGACAGGGTTCTCTAGAAAAACAAAACTAATATAGGTATATATACATATATACAACATATGAAATAAACAATTGAGTAGTCTATAGAGCAGTACAAATTGCTCAGTGCAACTCAGCCATTTCTGTGAGACATCTAATACACTAATAGAAGCCTTCAAGTCTTGAGGGCTGCCAGGTGCAAGTCAAGGAAGCAGACAGCTGAGTCCTCTGTGGAGGAATTTAGGCAATCTGGCCACAGGCAGCAAACAGCAAGGCAGGTCACCAACAGTCAGCCAGATGACAAGGTTCGACAGTCCTCAGCTCAAGTGATGTATACTCCAGTAGTGTGGGGAAGCAGGTCTTGAAGGAACCTCAAATTACAGCGACACAGTCCACAGGTTAGGTGTCCCACCGGTAGTATAGTTTGCAAGTTGAGCCAGAGAACCAGCTAAGGTAGCCACACAGTGGTCTGATCATCAAAGAGCAAGAGACAAGAAAGGCTAGGCTCGCTGAGCCATTTATCTCTCCACCCTTCAATTAATCCCACGTGTGTTCATTGGCCAGGTTGGCACAATAAACCTGCCTATCACAGAAGGCTAGCTAAGTAGGCCCAATTATTTCAATTTTCTTAGCTGAGGCAACCCACATGTGGGAAATGAAGACATTTGGAATATCATTGTCCCAGACCATATTGCAGGATAGTGAGAAATCATGACTTTTTGGTGCTGTTGGCCACTCACTGTGTGTCCAGATGGAGGGAAAAGGACGTTGAGAACAGAATCAGTAGTAGGAAATGGGAATGGTGTTCTTTATTCATATTTGGCCACTCAGTCCTGAATATAAGCAGAATGCAGTTTTCTTCAATTTTAACCACCCATGGCATTTTATTTTGGAAATGTCTAAGTATTCACACAGGTTATCAACATCTCCCCTCTCACCCTTACCCACCAACTAAAGAGGAAATTTTCAAAACCCCAAACCAGAAATATCTCAGCATAGAAAAATCTCTGACTTAGTGTTTCTAAAGTCTCAGGTTAAATTTAAAAAGCTTACTTGGTATCTTCTTCTTGTATGAGAATATTGCATTTTAAGAATTGTCTTTCCTTGTCCTTACTACAGATTTCTACTCTTTCCTATGGGGGCATGGGAGAATGGTTCCTGCTGCTTCTTCCTTTTAATAAATTCTTTTCTTTCTTTTATTCACCATGTAGTCTTTTCTTGATTATTACACATTGTAATTCTCCCACTTGACATCTTCTTAGAAATTTGATCGTTGGATGCATTTTACATGTGGCAAAAATTCACTGTGGCTTTGCATGGTATAAGGGTCAGGAACAGCCATGTGAATGCTCTGGTTTGAGGGAAAATAGAGAGCACGATATAGACACGCTCTGGAGTGTGTGTAGGGTGAAATAGGGTGTGGACAGAGTTGAGAAGGCTGACAGACTACTTGGTTTTGAATGTGATCCCCAGGGAGACTTTCCTGACTTTATCACAACATTATCAGGAAGAGATTTGGTTAAAAATTTTGACTGACAGAGGTTCTGGTTCATTTGGTTCTCCTTGTGTCAGACCAGACATACACAAGCAGGGGCAATATGGGTTATTTGCACTGGGCGTAGCCTGTGCTTGAACATGCTAAGGTCTTTCTGCAAATGTGCTGCTCATCTCAGCACTTGGGAGAGATAAAAGAAACATTTAATTAAAATATAAGGTATATTTCCATCTCAAACTCACCCAAGACCCCAGGTTCCCTTAGTTCTATAATTTGAAAATTCAGAATGAAGCTTTCAGTTATGTGTCAGCCTATGTCATGTAGCAGCTGGTTCCCTGGGGCCATCTCAGAGGACCCAAAGACCAGGCTGTACCCAAGCAGCCAGCAAGTCTACCCAAAATGGTAAGCCTTGATGATTTTCATGTCATCTGTAGGATGGTCCTGAGAATTTGTTTCCACCATTCCCACTCAATTCACCATGCCCGTGCCTTGGTCCACCTGGCCAAAAGTGGCATGTTTGCAGCCAATTCATTAGGTGGGAGTCGGGGTCACAAAGAGATAGCTTTCATTGGTGTGTTGGCCATTCCTAGAATTCCAGCCCCTGTGAATCTGAAGTTCATCTTCAAACTGCTTGCCATCGATAGCTGCATCACCTCAAACTGTCCCTGTTGGATCACCTCCCTGGAACACGGATGCTTTGATGAGCCTGTGGGATTTGCTGCCATTGAATCAGCTCAAGTAGCCAGCTGAGCAAGGCTTCCAGTATAGCTCGCTCCGGGCACAATGATCCCCATGCTGGTCTCCAAGTATACATTGGGCCTCTGGCAGAAACCTGAGGGGCTTGCCACCATAGCAAAGTTGGTGGGCTCTTTCTTTCAAGCAGAATATTGTTTTAAAGAGTCTTTGTGTGGTGCAAAGAATTAATCTACTTAGCTGCTTACTGGGTCAGAAGTTTTAGTCTACCCAGAAGTGCTTCAGAAGGAAAGCCTGATGGTCGACTTCCAAAAAAGTATCCATTTGAAACCTTCATGGAGTACAATTCTACTCTGACACACAGAGTTGCCATATGGCTTTGAAGAAAACTAAAAGCTAGAAGATGACTTGATCCTATTGGTTTCCTCTATCTGGTACAAAAGCCTAACCCAGAGCGACCACACCTCCTGTTGTCAAGCACATACCTTTTGCATTTTGGGATCATTTTGAAATAAGCAGTTTTCATTTTCTCCTGAAGTTTTCTTGCACAATGTTCGGGCAATTTTGACTTCAATGTAGTACTCCAAACTATCTGTGGCCTATCAATGAATAATTTAAAATTTAAATAATGTACATTTAAGTTACATACAATTTTACCATTATCCAGTCCATGGTGACTCAAAGTGGGTTTCCAAGACTTTAACTATTTACGGGAGTAGAAAGTCTAGTATTCCTCCCAAGGAGATGCTAGTGTTCAGAACTGCCTACCATGTGGATCACAGCCCAATGTGTAACCCCTACATCACCAGGACTCAACAACCTATAGCATCAATTTTCACATCTGAAAAGAGGCATGCCATTAACTGAGTAGGGCAAAGAACATTCTGTCTCCCTTCTGCTAGTCCTCTTGTCTATGGTTGACTTCTGAACACTGTTGGAGTAAATGGTGTTCTTACCTTGATAACTCTCCTCCACCAACCCCCACTCATGCACACATACTCATCCTTGGTGAAAGCAGTAGTTCCCCTACTTCAGCCTGCATCAGGATCAGAATCACCTGGTGTTCTTGTACAAGCAGAGGGCCCCTCCCTTTACTCTTCTCTCTCCGTAGGTCTAGTTCTGTGAATAGGAGCAGGGAAAGTGCATTTCTAACAAGCTCCTAGTGGATTCTGATGCTACTGGCCCAAGAACCCATTCTGAGAAGCATTGAACTAGGCCAAAGTCTTTCATGACCCAATAGTGGCACGAGGCACAAGAGTCTCTCTGTCACAAAGCAGAAAGGTCTCTGATTGGCTCTCTTGAAGATGAGGTTCTCTTTTATAGTCTTTCATCCAAACATGACCCTTAGTTAGTTTTCTATTACATTTTGATTACTGTTTCCAGAGGAAAATGACAAAGGCTTTGTTCTTATTACAAAAAGACAGAGGGAAAACCAAACTGGCAAAGTAAATCTTCCCACAAACTGAGACGGGGAAATAGTGGGTCCCCAGAGAAGAGTCCTTGAAGGAGTCATTCTCATCAAAAGCTTGAAACACAGAAAGCAGGTCTTCATGTCATGGAAACACCAGGGCTGGATAGTAAGCGGGAATGCTCCAGTGAGATGGAGCCATACCCTTGCATACCACGGCCCCCACTTCCTGGGATGCTAAATAACAGAGACAAACATTTCTTTGGAAGCCATCTTCCAGAAAGAACCAGTCTGGGCCAGTCATCCTGCCTGGCAGCATGCCCTGCATTAGAGTGCACGGGCCACCATCAAACTCTGCTAATGCCACCCAGAAGCCCTTGCAACAGGAATCCACCGTGAAGGGTAATGGTACAGACACCCTCTTAGCACAGGCAAGCTTTTTCCAGGAAAATTCCACCTTTCTCTCAAGTTGTAATCTTTATTTACAAGGCCTTGTAGAAAGTTCAAAATGCACCACCATTGAGACTACTTAGACACATGATGAACTTCTAGGGCAGAGTAGAAATGCCCTGGTAGGTTCCTGAGATTGTAATTCTTTACAGGAGTGAACAGCCTCATCTTTCTTCTGCAGAGTGGCTGGTGGTTTGGGGCTTTCCGCCTGGCAGTTAGCATCCTAAGGCATGCCCACAATACCACCAGGGTTAACTAGTATAGGACAATGAATGAATGGCGTAAACCTCTTCACTCCAGAAGTGGAGTGACACTGCATCGTCCCTCCTCATCTCCACTAACACTAACACTCTTCTTTCCTTTTCATAAACTTTTGCTCATGTGGAAACTTTAGTCCCACCTGATTATTCTTAATCAGCCCAAGAAAAGCAACCTCCTTTCTAATGTTGCATGAGCAGCAGCACCACTAGTGACAAAGTCACTTAAAATTTAGAAATGTGTCATAAAACATAATAATAATAAACATTTTGAAAATGTACCATCAACAAAGGATGGCATTAAGAAAGAAGAAATGATGAGATCCTAGAGAAGAGAGCCCAGAGGGATCTGTTACAATAGAGAATGCAGAGCAAAGGCCACATTCCACAGCACATGTAGAACAAACCTTTGAGCTCAGCATGAACAGATTTAAAAAGCAAAACAAAACAGAGTAAGACCAGGAGACCCTCATGATAGAAGTTCATTCCAAAGTGGTGGTCACTGCTTGATATCGAGCTCATGGGGAGATCGCTGAAGATAATGTAATGAAAAACCAGATGGGGCCTATCTATCAGAAAGAATAGCATGTGGAGTCTTAAAAGTTTGTTTTAAAACACACAGCTATCTAAGTGAAGTGTCAACAAAGTCCACATGGAAGAAGCAGACTAGCCTTTGTGATCCCAGGATGGTAGATGATAGACTCCAAATCCAAAGGAGGGAATGATATTTGACCTTAAATTATGAATCTTTGGTTTGCAAAAAGCCATGGATGAAAGTGAAAGCCCAAAATACATTTGCAAAATCTATACATACATTAAACCTCCAGAGATTTCCTTATGAAATTATCAGAGGATGTTAATAACCTGGTTATCAGGCAGAGAATATCGTAGAGATGGTTATAGTAGACTAAAATATAATATCTGAATTGAATGATTAAAATTCAAAATCTGAATTGATCCCCCTTTGACCCATTTAAAAGTTTTGTTAGTTGAAAATTAAAAAGGGAACAGGAAATACATGTGGAAGAAGCTGCTTGTGAATCCTCTTTGAACAAAGATCAGGGAGGTAAATAACCTTGCTATCGTGCAGAATACTTAATAGACTATGGCAGGTTTAGCTAGGTAAAAGTCTCACACCTTATTGTTTTATCTCCCTTTTGACCCATTTTAAAACTCTTAGTTTTTAGTATTTTATGTTTTCTTTTGAACTAGGTTTTGGTTCATTTTATTTTCTTATTGTTATTAGTTCTTCTGACTGTTTTATGCTTTTGTATGTTTTTTTGTATAAGAAATCCAGGATACGTGAATCTATAGAGACAGTAACTGAATTAATGGTTCTTTAGGAGGATGAAAGGGGAGATACAGGGGGAAATGGGGGAAGTAATAACAAAGAGCACAAGAAAAAATAAAAAGTTTTAAAATTTATTGGGGCAATGATTTGACAAAATTTTTAAAACATTTTGGGGTATCGTACATCTCTTATCACAATCCATACATACATCCATTAAGTCAAGCACATTTGTGGATTTATTGTCATCATTTCCAAAACATTTGCTTTCTATTTGAGCTCTTGGTATCAGCTCCTCACCCTCCCTCATGAACCCTTGATAATTTATAAACTATTTTTGTCATGTCTTTCACTGACTGATGTCTCCCTTCATCCACTTTTGTGTTGTCTGTCCCCCTGGGAGGGGGCTATATGTAGATCATTGTGATCAGTTCCCTATTCCTCTTCCCATCTTCCCCTCACTTTCTGGGTATTGCTACTCTCATTATTGGTCCTGAGGGAGTTTACCTGTCCTGGATTCCCTGTGCATCCAGCTCTTATCTGTACCAGTGTACATGCTCTGGTCTAGCCAGATTTTTAAGGTAGAATTGGGGTCATGATAGTTGGGGTTGGGGAGGAAGCATTAAAGAACTAGAGGAAAGTTGTGTGTTTCATCAGTGCTACACTGCACGCTGACTGGCTTCTCTCTTCCCTGTGGCCCTTCTATAAGGGAATGCCTAATTGTCTACAGACGGGCTTTGGGTCTCCATTCCATACTCCCCCCATTCACATTGATATGATTTTTTGTTTTGTGTTTTTGATGCCTGATACCTGATCCCATCAACACCTGATGATCACACAGGTTGGTGTGCTTATTCCATGAGGACTTTGTTGTTTCTCAGCTAGATGGCTGCTTGTTTATATTCAAGCCTTTAAGACCTCAGACACTTTATCTTTTGATAGCCAGGCACCATCAGGTTTCTTCCAGTATACATAGACCTGTTAGGTCTGTCTACTTTCATATGGTCCCAGAGGTGCATTTTTGCCAGCTCATGCAATAATTGGCCCTGGGGAAGCCAAATTATGGTTAGAACATTCTAGATGAACAAATCCTAAAGAAGATTTAGCTCTGAACACAAGCAGCCAACACTCTTCACAAAAGCCCCAAATTAGGATGGTGATTTATATAAAGCAATCTTTAAAGCCTTCCCCCACAAAATAGATTAGACAAAAGTACATTCTTGTATAAATATAAAAGTTAAGAATATTTATGATTGTCAATCTTGGGTTTTCCAGAAGTTTTCAAGAATATAAAGGACCTTTATATATATTTCTGACCTCAAAAGATAAAACTCACCCTTAGTCAAAAGACGTTGTTTAGACAAATGGGCTGCTTCCCTTGAATAATTAACCACTCTAACACGAGAGTTTGTCCAAATTTTAGAATGAAAGCAGACTAAACTATCTAGAAAATTAAATAAATTAAAGTCCTTCAGTAGCATCAGGTGCAAGGGCCAGCTGACATAGAAGTCATTTGAAATCTTGAAATGAACACAAACTTCCCTCTACAACTGTTGAGGATACAAACTGGACAATGGAAAAGTGAAAGTTTTAAGTTGAAGTTAAAAGAACGTTTCCACGCTAATGGGTCCTCCCATCCCAGAGCAGCATAAAGGCCTCTTAGACAAACCAGGGAGGTTCCTATGGCCACTCTAAATCCTCAAGGGCAGACATTGGGCATATTAATGGAAAACCTTACATTCTGTGATCTCCTCTACTCTTTTTATGGGGATCTAAAATTCAGTATTTTTAGACACATCTCTGGAGTGCATCCTTAAACCTTCATGTCACTGTAGAATACTCCAGAACTGTACAGGAATTGTAAGATTGACTTTGCCTTCTTGCTTTTCTTGGGAAAGAAAGAACCAGAGCCTAGGAGTGTAGAAATGAGCACGCCACATGTCAGAGTCCTAGAACCAAAGCCCCTGCTCAAGGCCAGGAACCCTCAACCCTCACAGGGCCAAACAAAATAATCAGAGTCCAAGCCATATTCCCTTGGTAGGACTCAATGAGCATTAAAAATAAATGAGGAATTGTGTTAGGCTGGGTTCTCTAGGGCAACAGAACTAGTGACATTCATATATTCAAGGATAGAATTTTATATTAAGAAAGCCCTAGCTAGTCCAATGAATGTCCACAGGTCTGATGCTAGCCCGA